TCAATTCTAACCACCTTCTCTGTCACATATTCAGTTTCTTTTGAGTGAAAAAGTACTCCAGGCTCTTGTGGTCGGTATAGACTTCACACTTTGCTCCATACAAATAGTGGCGCCAAATTTTCAAAGCAAACACAACAGCGGCCAATTTCAAGTCGTGAGTCGGATAATTCTTATCATGAGGCTTCAATTGTTGAGAAGCAGAAGCTATTACTCTTCCATTCTGTATCAATACACAACCCAAACCTTTATACAAAGCATCACTGTATATCACAAAATTCTCTGTACTGGAGGGTACGGTTAAAACTGGTGTTGTAGTCAACCTTGTTTTCAGTTCATGAAATGCGGACTCTCTTTCATTGGTCCATTCATACGATTGTCCCTTTTGAGTAAGTTGGGTAAGTGGTATGACTATCTTTCAAAAATCTATTACAAACCCCTTGTAATACCCAGCTAATCCTATGAAGCTTCGGACTTAGGTCACATTTGTCAGTGTAGGCCAATTCACAATTGCCTCAATCTTTTGCAGGTCTATCGAAATTCCGTCTTTGTTGATCACATGCCCTAAAAACAAAACTTCATCCAACCAAAATTCACATTTCTTCAATTTAGCATATAATTTCTTCTCCCTAATTGTTTACAAAATTGTCCTCAAATGTTGTTCATATTCTTCTCTACTTCTCGAATAAATTAAGATATTAAAAACTACAAATTCGTCAAGATAGGATTTAAAAATTTGGTTCATAAGGTCCATAAATGTTGCAGGTGTATTTGTAACCCCAAATAGCATAACCAAAAATTCGTAATGCCCATACCTTGTTTGAAATGCAATTTTCTCCATATCTTCACCTTTCACTTTCAGTTGATGGTACCCGGATCTCAAATCAATCTTTGAAAATACTTGTGAACCATGTAACTGGTCAAACAAGTCATCAATGCGGGGTAAAGGGTACTTGTTCTTGATTGTTACCTTATTTAGTTCTCGGTAATCAATGCACAAACATAAAGTTCCATCTTTCTTCTTTATAAACAAAACTGGCGCACCCCAAAGAGAAGTGCTCTGTCGGATAACCCTTGTCAAGCAAATCTTGTAATTGTTCTTTCAGTTCTTTCATTTCTGCAATTGACATTCTATACGAAGTTTTTGAAATGTGTTGAGTACCTGGCATGATTTCAATAATAAACTCAATTTCCCTATCAACTAATTCCCTTGGCAATTCCTCTAGAAACACATCTTAGAAATTCTCTAACAATAGAAATATCATCTAACACAGTATTTATGGATTGATCAGTCAAAATACTACACAGATAACCCCAACATCCCTTCTTAAGTAGTTTGCATGCTTTCATTGTCAAAATTAAGTAAGGCGGAGGTATTACACCGTTACCCACAAATACAAATTCATCATGTCTCGGAGGTCTAAAAAAACCCGTTTCATTACACAATTAATGGTAGCACAATATTTAGATAACCAACCCATCCCCAAAATCACATCCAAATGTCTAATATCAAGAGGTAACAAATCTACAAATAATGTAGCATCTCTAACACATATTTCACAAGCACGATATACAAATAAACATAGAACAAACTCCCCAAATGGAGCAGATACACACAACAGGTATGGCAATGATTCTATATGTCTATTCAGTCTAGATGCAAATGTAGTTGACACAAAGTAATATGTTGAACCCGAATCAACTAGCACATAAGTATCTTGGTTACAAATAGAAAGGGTACTGAAAAAACAACTTCGCTATTTTGTGTATCACCTGGGATGAGTGCAAAAACTCTCCCTTGCCTTAGTGTGTCTCTCGTAGCAGTAAGCCTTGTGGTGTTTCTTGGCATTGGAGTGGACCTAGTTGAACTAGCAGCTGGTCTTCCAATTCTCTGTTTAGGTTAGGGACAATCTCTAACCATATGTCAGGTCTTGCTGCATCTATAGCACGCCCTAAAAGTACGATAACAGACTCCCCAATGTTTCTTACCACATTCACTGCATGTCGGTGTGAAGTCCCCTAAGGAAGTAAAAGTACTAGACGCTTCCATGTTCTGCTTCTTTGAAAGCTATGATCTCTTATTTGAATAAGAACCATGTCGTTTTCCCTTCCATTCAAATGGCCAGTTATAGGATGCCAAATTTGCCTCAGACATTAAAGCTCTATCTAGAACATCCGCATACTACGGTAATTTTGGAACATTTATTTTCTCTAAAATCACATTCTGAAGTTTGCCCTCAAACTTCTTCACCTTTTTATAATCGGTATCGACCATGTGTAGTGCAAATCTGGTTAACTCTGTGAATTTTGCTTCATACTCGACTATTATCATGTTACCTTGCTTGAGTCCCTCAAACTTGGACACTTTGTGATCACGGACGCACTGTAGAAAATATTTCTCATAAAAAATTTCAAGAAATTGTGCCCAATCAATTCCCTTATTGCCTTCTCGGATTAATATCCACCATCTTTTTGCCTCATCCTTTAGAGTGAATGCGGCCAATTGAACATTTTATGCCTCGGCACACAGAAATACCTCAAATAATTTCTCGATTCCAAGGACCAAGCTTCAGCTTTTAATGGGTCTACTCCCCTATAAAAAAACGGTGGCTTCATCTTCTTAAATTTTTTAGTGAGGGCAATTGTACGGTTATCAGCCTGACGATCTTGCATAGGCAGTACTGGTATCGGTGGAGGTAGGAGTGGTTGTTGCTGTTGTTGCCTTAATGCTTCAGACATATCGTTGATCATTTTTTCCATTCTGTCTAGTCGGGTGGTAGTCGACTCTTCTATCTTATTAGCCCTTGTCCTCCCCATTATCTATATAAACTTGCATTATAATAAACACAAGAATTAATGGCACTCCTGCGGGTTTCTTTTCGACATTTCGAGGTCTTCGTCAAGGATATCCTTTGTCGCCATTATTGTTTATTTTAGTGATGGACGGCAGTTGAGCAATGAATTGCCGGATGAGCGGTCATGAAGGCTTGCTGAGGGCTTTGTGGTGGATCCTCTCACAGGAGTATCTATGTGTGTTTTCCATTTGTTGTACGCATATGATGCACTAATCTTTTGTGGGGCGGTGGTGAAAAAGGTGGGATACTTGCGATGTGTTTTGTTATGTTTCGAGGTAGTTTCAGGCCCTCGAGTGAATTTGAGGAAGTCTGAGCTGATTTCGGTGGGTAATGTGGAGGGATTGCCAGTGTTAGCGGCGGTGTTAGGCTATAAGGTGTCGACTTTACCGGTGACTTATTTGGGTTTGCCGTTAGGGGCATCGTTTAAGGCTAAAAAGGTATGAAGAAGGGTTATGGAGCGAATTCAACGTCATTTAGCAGGTTGGAAGAGGCAATATCTTTTGACCAAGTACAGATTGACTCTGATCAATAGTGTGTTAAGTAGTATTTCGACATACTTTATGTCTTTGCATGTTATTCTGGTGTTTATGGCGAGACAAATTGAGAAGTTACAAAGGGATTTCCTATAGGGTAATGGGGGGGTTGATTTCAGGCATCATTTGATGGATTGGAGGCGGATTTGTCAACCAAAAGTGGCAGGGGGGTTGGTGTGAGGAGTTTGGTGACTTTTAATAGAGCATTGTTGGGGAAGTAGCTATGGCGTTTTGCATGAGAGCCAGAGCGGTTATGGAGACAGGTGGTGGCTATTAAGTATGGAGTAGCTCGGGGGAGGTGGAGGTCAGGGGTAGTGAGGGGTTCTTATGGTTGGGGATTATGGAAAAGGATTTGGTTGAGGAGAAATGAGTGTTGGGATAGACTGGGGGATGGGCTGAAGGTGCGCTTCTGGAATGATAGGTGGTGTGGTGTTGTTTTGCCGGCGGATCGCTTTCCTTTGATCTTCAACATTATGGTGGATTAGGAGGCTATGGTGGCATCTTATTTGAGGGGTGGGGAAGGGGTGGTTTGGGACATTCCGTTACGGCGATAGGTTCAGGATTAGGAGGTTAATCAGTTGTTAGAGTTATGGAGTTACTTGTATGGGTTGGGTGTGACTGGGGTAGAGAAGGATGTTTTGGGGTGGAATGTTAGGGCTAAGGGGCATTTTTCGGTCTCATCATTCTATTGAAGCATGATGGGGGAGGTAAGACAGGATTTTCCTTGGAGGAGTGTTTGGGTGCCAGGGGTTCCATCTAAGGCGGTTTTTTTTATGTGGACATCGACTTTGGGTTTGAATCTTATGATTGATAACTTGATGTGGCTGGGCCATATTCTAGTAAATCGGTGTTGTATGTGTTATGAAGATGCAGAGTATATGGATCATTTGTTCTTGCATTGTTCTGTAGCGCTTCGTTTGTAGGGTTTTGTTTACTCTCTTTTTGGGATTGCTTGGGTTCAACCGCAGAGGGTGTTGGATATGTTGTGGAGCTGGCGCGGGGCTCAGGTTGGTCATTGACGATAGCGTGTGTGGTATTTGATCCCATTTTGTTTGATGTGGTTAGTGTGGTTGGAATGTAATAAGTGCATGTTTCAAGAGATTCAACGTACAATAGTTGGCTTGAGAGTTGTTTACTTGTTATTTTGTATAGTTGGTTAGAATTGGAAATTAATCCGAATATGTTTGGGTTTTTAGAGTTCTTGGATGAAGTTATTGGTTAGAGGGTGATTACTCGTGCGGGGTTTTGTATTCTTTGCATCATCTTGATAGTTTTTTAAAAAAAGGTCGCTTGCTTATTTCTAATAATAATAATAATAAACACAGGAATTGCACATATACACATAGGCACAACAGTTCATATTCCATATTTTCACATGCTCTCAATGCAGACAAACAGATACTTATCAGATGGATGCACCTTAAGTCTTTCTAAACACCTTATTGCTCATTTGGACAAATGTGTAAATTATTAACTCGTACTCTGATATCATTCTGTTATAACCCGAACCCGCCCCTAGAGATTTGGATCATAACCAACCAGTAATCATGAGATTACTTACGACCTTAGACAGAAATCAAATCATATCTAATTATATGAGGTAAGAAGCGGAAGCTGAATAATAAATTGTGTCTAATGAATTGTGCATATATGGCATATACAGAAATATCTTATACGTTAATAACTCACAATCATACAACACACCTTGTTTAAACATTCATTTCAGACTGGAGATACAAAGACTTAAACACAAAAGTATTATCCATGATCTTACATAACTTAAACTTCTTATAAACAAAAGATGGTCAAGCATGACCAATAAAAACAAAACAAACGACAAAAGTCTCGTGCGTGAGGCATCCTTGGCTGACTCCACAAAACTTGATAATCCTTTCACAGCTTTACTAGGGCTGGACATCCCGTTGCTCACCTACATATATATAAATACGGAGTGAGCGAAAACTTAGTGAATAACATCAAAGTAAAGAGGTTATATAAATGAGTTCTAATGTTTAAGTAAAATCACACTCATTGTAATAATTTCGTGTCATAGCAAAACGACATCGGGTTCAACAAATACAGAGATACAAAGTAGAACAGATCATACTTATCGGAACGACATCGGGCATTACGACCTCGGGTCTAATAAATTACAATTGTATAATGACCAATAGGTCAACACATAACAGATATTCGGACTTATCAAATATACAGAGAATCAGATAATCAGAATGACCTTAGGTCTATCTTACCAGATATATGGAACGACCTTGGGTCCAATTCAGTTATACAGAACGACCTTGGGTCCATTTCAAATATACAGAACGACCTTGGGTCCATCATACACATTCATGCCATATCAATCACATTCACAGATATCATATTGATCAGACAGATAGAACCTCATTTACACTTGCAAAATCATAAGTTTGGAAAACTTGCTACATTAAGACATTTAGAAAATAGAGTAATAAGAAAATATATTTACTAAGATATTACTCACAATGATTCAGTTGCTGACACGTCTTCGCAGATGATCCTACACAATTCATGAACATACACATATTGAATTACTTTGCTTAACCGGATTGTTCTTTAACTTATTCAATTCTTTTAAGTCTCATTCTAACTTAAAGATTCATTTAGGAGACTCAATTCATGCCTAAGAATGTTTAGAAAAGGATGAGAATGTCAAAATAGATAAAAACACAACTTTTCAAAATATGCTAAAACAGGATACTTCGCTCGAGCGGACCACTTGGTCTACAAAAGTACTGAATAGTCCGAATCTAGACTCGACGATCGCTCGAGCCAAGGCACCAAAATGAACTAAGATTGCTCGAGCGTCAACTTGGTCGCTCGAGCCAACAATAAAACTCAACGAAATTACTAGATGCATAAGATGTGTGCTCGAGCGACAGATTGTTCGCTCGAGCGGTGAGACAGAATTCTGAAATTTCCAGAACAGAGTTGAATTTCAAAACACAGTTTAAAGTATGGATTCATGCATGATGCAATCCAAAACCATAGAAACCCTTCCAAAACATGATTACGTGGCCAAAACTGAATCCTTTGTTCAAAAACTTCATGATTTTGCGAAATTGAAGTTTAAGACTTCATAATTGGAACCCAAACTCCCGTGCATATATCAATTAACTTCCTAGTCTTTTCCAAGGTTAACAAAACATGGAGATTAGCTTCAAAACAACTTAATTCTTGAATGCAAATATGATATGATTCTCAATTCTAGCACGGATGACAAAATCATACTCAAAATGATGGAACATAACAAAATTATGCATGCATAAAAAACCTTTAACAATGAAAAAATTGATAATGTTCTTAGTTTTAAAACTGAAAAAAAAAACTAATAATGTTCTCGGTTTTGTTGGATAGTTGAATCAAACCAATAAGTAGAAGGACAAAAACATTTAATCTCATGCCTTTTTTTTTTCAGTAAGTGAAATAATTATCTGAAACATTACTATGCAAAATTCATAATGTACTTAATTTTAAAAATTGAAAAAAAATGATAATATTCTTAGTTTTATTAAATAGGACTTATTGGTTCAAAAAATCTTAGATAGGACCTGAGTTACCATAACATTTGTAAAAAGAACTTTTAGGTAATTAACTCATTAAATTTTTACCCACTCAATTTTGAAATTATTATTAGTCGATCAATTTTATTGAAATTAATTTGGAGAATAAGCTAGCTACAATTGCACGGGTGCATACACATAGAGTAGCCAAAGAAGTTTTGGCTCAATTAGTTTCTCCAAGATCGACTCGAGATAATTTGAGAATTAAAGAGAAAATCTAAATGTGGATTTTTATATGTTTTTAGTTATTTTTTTGCAAAGTACATTATTTAAAAGTTATTTTTGAGAAAAGTTTATTTTTACCCCTATATTTTGCCTCGATAATCAATTACAACCCCAGACTTTGACTATTTTAAATTTTACCCCAGACTATTTAAATTTCTATCAATTTTGTAGCGATCCCGGTTTCGATCCTACTTTCATGTTTTGCCACTTCGACTAGGCCGATCGGGGGTCGAGCTAATGCAAAATGCATTCGAAGTTGTTTGTCCGCTCAAGCAGCCGTTTATACGCTTGAAAGGAGAATGTTTTGTTTCAGAAGTTTGACCTGTCTACAAAAGTACTGGGTTAGTGTATTTGACGCTCGAGCAGGGCATTCCACGCTCGAGCGGACCTTGTTATATCAGTTCATGAATCTGATATTTCATATCACTTTTTCAGTCCTCTCTCTCTCTAAAACTCTCCAGAATTCCAGATCGGGAGCTTCTCTCTCTACAATTCATCTTCTCTCTTTGATTTGTCCAAATCCATTAGAATTTAGACCTAACTTCTTCACCAAAGTTGGTTATCATCTCGAGGGCTTCGTTGTGTGCGGTGAAGATCGAGTTTCGACACCGTTGATTTTGGGAGTTTCATCTCATTTCTTCTTCAAAACTTGAGGTAGGGATTTTCTTAGAGTTATATATATGTTTTTGCAAGATCTAGATGATTTTCGAAATCATCCTTTGATTAGCTTTGAGAAATTGATTGTTGATTTCAAGAAGATGAGTGATTTTGAAAGAGGGTTTAATTTCTTTTCCTTTTAAAATAGAAATTGAAGGTTTTGAACCATATTGATTGAAGAAAGATGATTTTGGGGAGATTCTTCTAAATATTTTGGAGATGAATGGTTTTGGTGAGAAAACCTAGAAATTGGGTCTTTTCTTTGAAAGATGTTGAAAATCCTTGGAAGATGTTGTCATATTTATTTTGCGTACCAAAATAAATGGATGTTTTGAAAATTGTTTATTTATATATAAATGACGAATTTTGTGAAAAAAAATGAGAAATGTTGTTTATTTTGGAAATTGTTGTCAAAATGTTGATTTAGTCTTGAATTGACTAAATTGTTGAGATTGCTCGAAATGTGGGAATTACGTTATTCTCTGAATGAATTGGATATAAAAATATATATATATTCATCTTGTGGAATTGTGTTGAAAAGATGATTGGGAATTTTGATCACAATGGTATATTGTGTGGAACAATTGAATATGGAAGTAATGTTACATTGCATTATTAAGTATACATTGGCATTTCAATTCGTTGGACTATGTTAAGCTTTGGAAATTTGCATTGAGAAAAGAATGTTGGGAAATGGGTTTTCATGAAATGGTTTTCGGGTAAATACGGTGGTAAGTCTTGATAGGTGGCGTAGATGAAATTGATTAAGTTGGCCTGAGTGTCCTTGGTGAAAGACGAGAAAGCCGCGCGGATAGGTGTCGAGCCTTCCGGTTAATACCGGTAAAAATGACAATTGGTAGTACTCGTATAGTCTATTTGCAGACACTGACCTAGGGATTACCAGAGTTGTATTTACCGCCCCCTTTAATTAAATTGATAAATTTTGAATAGTTGAAGTTGCATAACATCATTGAGCATGATGGTTTTCAAAAGGTAAAGATGTATTTTATTTTCAAAAAGGCATGGCATGGCATGTGAATTCATTTCTTGAGACTTGTATAAAATCTATATACTTTGTTAAGGATTTCCTACTACGCTTTATGCTCACCCTATTGGATTTTTGTGCAGGAAAAGACGTGGTGAATCCGCCTAATTGAGGACGTGGAAATGTGTGTGTTGAGAGCACTAAAGTTCTCATTTGCTGTGATCCTATTTGTAAGCCAAGGGCTATGTATGTGTGGGTTTGAATAACCATTTTATGTACCAGGCTTAAGCCTTGAAAGATTGTAAACCCTTGGGGGTGCTTATTTGGTTATTTACTTATTGTTGAATCAATGTTACATCGCATTAGGAACTATTATTATTATGTAATGCAAGTATGGAAAGTTATATTTGGTTTTCCTTTAAGAGAGCCATGATTGTTGCATTATCATTTGGGCTAGAAATTTGGAGCGTTACAAATTTCACCCCTGTCGTCTATTTTCAAGGAAGACGGAATTGGTGACGTGGTCTCCTAAACTTTTGGATTGAAGGAATATACAATGGTTTGGCTGACCACAATCAATTAGATACACTAAGGTCCCGTTTGGGGACTTACCTTTTTAGCCAAAAAGCCAACAACTCATATAAAAAAGTCAAAGATTCTTTTTTCTTTCTACTTTTTGCACATCTTTTCGTAATTAGCCAAAAAAGTCATTCCAAACATATAAGTTTTTTTTACCTACCTTTTTAGCCAAATAGTCAAAAAGTTACTAAATTAGCTTGTTCCCAAACGAGGCCTAAGTTTGCTTAGAACTTCCCAAATCGTAATTAAGGTTTTCAATTTGCTCTCAAAATTCCCAAATCAAAGTTGAGAGTCAACAATGATTGCAAAATCACATTGAAATTAAGGGTTGAACGATGGGTTGGAGACTAAGAAAGATAACGGTAGAGGAAGTGAAACACCTGTATATGGTATGAATTTTTATTTTTATTTTTTAATTTTATTCTTGTTGAAAATCACGTGTTGATGTTACATTACAACAAATTACACTTTTGCCAACTAAATTTTTAGTTTTAGTCGCCAAAACGTTTTGTTGACTAAATTTTTTGGTCGCCAACTTTGTCGCTAGATGATTGTCAAGAAAGGTATTGGCGACTAAAAATTATTTAGTCGCTGAAAGTCTTCAATTGGCGACTAATTTTTTAGTCCCCAAAAGTTTTTAATTGGCAACTAAGAATTATTTAGTCACTTTCATTAGTCACTGAAAGTATTCAATTGGTGACTAATTTTTTAGTCACCCAAAATTCATAATAATTTTAACATTATATTTTCAGCGACTAAAATTTTTTGTTGCCAAAAACTTAACCATTTAGAGCGACCAAACTTTTAGTCGCTAATTTTCTTTTTTATTCATCGTATTTCTTTTAGCTACTAAATGGTTTAGTTGCCTAAAGTCTAATTTTTTGTTTAGCAACTAAAGTTTTAGTCGGCAATTAATTTTTTTCTTTCTTTTGTTTTTTTTGGGCTACTAAATCATTAGTCACCTAAAATCTTTTGTTTATGACTACTACAAATTTAGTCACCAAAGGAATTATTTCCATTTAATTCTTTTTTTAGCTACTAACTATTTAGTCGCTAAAAATATTTACTCCATTTTTTACTACCAACTATTTAGTAGCCAAAAACATCATTTTATGTTTTTTTTTTTTTAAATTAATTTGTCCACAACCTGTATATATCCTATGCAACTTGTAACATGTATACAAACAAAACAATACATATATATTATCACCCATCCCACAATCTACATCTATTTCACTTACAACCATCCAAACAAAAGAATAACTTTTAATGTCAACATTTTATTCCAACTTAAAATAATAATTTCATACAAACCTATTTAAACATACGAGCTACCAGGGACATCCATACACCAGCTATATATAAAATCAAAGGACTTCAAAAATTCACTAGAATAAATCAAAAGGCATTCTACATGAAGGGATACACCAAAAGGTGTTTTGTTGGTGTTGAGCAAAACCCAATCAGACGTAATAGATTTCCTGTGAACAGCTACACTTATCATCCCAACTTCATGTTGGAATGTTGCGTCTCCACCAGGACTCTCATAGTCATTTAATCATTTCACAGCCACTTTAGTATTATTTGAAAGCACTCCTTTATAAACCTTTCCCAAACCCCCCTTTCCAGGGACATTTTTCTCATTAAAGTTGTCTGTAGCTAGCTGTAATTCTCACCAAGCAAATCTTCTCAATTGACCAAATGCAATTCTTCTATCAACTTCACTTGAGCATACAAATAAACAGAATCCATTAGTAGATTACCAGAAAACCCAAGTCACAACAAAATCAATACCTCAATTATATATCTACCAAAGATTAAGAATTAATGAGAAAGCTAGAGGTTAATACACATTGACAAGATAATATATCAAACACTGAAGAACTAACAAAAATATAATGCACCAAGAAAAGGAAATTATGAACTATAAACTATGCTAATAAAATTTCAAAATTCAACTGATAACATTTCTTTGGCATTGTTTCATTAAATCCAATTTTTATATACTAATAAGTATTTTTTGCTTTTCTCAAAAGACAGGTAACTTGAACTATGAAGCAAGCAAAGTAAATTGGAGACCCACCTAACAGTTAGACTCTTCATCCAATGTTGTTCTATGCCACGTTCTTCAGTATATCAGATCTTAAATTTTTAAGGGGCCAATCAAATGCAGAACTAAGATTCTTCAGATAAAGTGTTTTTTTTTTTTTTTTTTTTTTTGTTTATTTTTATTTTTTGATAAGTTATTCTGGTGT